ATATATATGCAAAAGCACAAGTCCTAGAAATTGACACTGAAATCCTCTAAGCCCTTCCTAGTATATACCTGTGAGATGTGTAGAACGCTTCATGCTCTTCCCTGTAGATTTACGTGTATGTTCGTATCAGATATGATAGACGTGAAGCCATTGAGTATAGAAGCATGTTTATTGAGACGTTCACTACTTTCGCCCAGATATATTTAACATATATATATATATAACATAATACTATATTTATATTATATATATATACTACGGATATGACAGATCTGGAAAGAACGAAAAGCCATCTATCTCACGACCAATTCGAATTAAACTGTAAGAATAAGTTCGAGATGAGAAGATGATATTTGCTGTCCTAACAATTGGATGCGTCTGATGGATGATTGCACTTATCTAATGCACACTTGCAAGTACCAATCTTTTCCTCTGCCGTTACTAGTTGGGCCACCCTCTCATCCTTGCCAAGCAGCTGTATTAAGCCATCGTATCCTTTTTTTTTGGATTCTAACAATGCGCGATTATTTCTAGCCGTAGGATCGACTCTATTGTCCCGTATGAGCAGCTCGGCAATCTCTGTTAACCCAAGGTCACATGCACCAATAAATGCATCGTTATCATGAGCAGACGGGTCGGCTCTTCCATCTTCCAATAGAAGCTGGACTATTTTAATATAGTGCTGCGTAGTGGTATTGTTTAGAACGGCTGAGGAGAAGCCAGGATGTCTAAATGTGCCACCGAGCGACGCTTTCCGAAGTGCCCAACTGTGTCTGGCAGCTGGGTCTACCCTTGTATCCGTGAGTAGCAATTGTGTGACCTCACAGCAACCATGTAGACTAGACTGTATAAAGGCTTCGTTCTGCTGGACAGATGGATCAAGACGGCCGTCGTCAAGCATTAGTTTGACTACACGCACGTATCCGTGTTTACAGGCCTGCAGGAATGAGCCAAAGTGGATTACTGCGGGATCCATACGTATGTCTTGGAGCAACAGACGTACAATATCTGGCTTGTTCTCGGCACAAGCATACGACAAGGCTGTACTGTTGTCAACAGATGGATCTACGTCCGATTTTGAAAGAAGAAGCTCCACGACCGACGAGCTTCCTGCCCAACACGCCTGATTAAGTGCGGCGCTGAGCTCTTCGCTTGTAAGATCTGTGATGCGACAAAGCAACACATGCACCATGAGCGGACAATCCATTACGCACCCGCGATTCAAGGCCATCTCCAAAGTCGCGCGAGATGAGAAGAGTTCCAACACACGGAGTGAAAGACCTCGTGATGAGAGTGTACATGCACTTTGGAATATCAGGACGAGTATTTGTGTCACTACATTGGCCCCATTCTCATCCATCAGGCCTAAACGCGACCTGTGATGCCTTGCCGTTGCCTCGACAACCACATCAACGCCCCATATTGCCATACCCACGCGTATTATATCCAGCATATCGTTGCTTTTTTGGCGCTCACAACATACACAAAGCCCTTCTTCGACATCCTTGCGTTTCTCAAACCGTTGGAAATCTCGAATGAGCGCATCTGTGCCTGTGAGACAATCGGTGGCCACATTACGCATGGTGTGGCTGGTCAGGAGTACTTTCTGAAGATCTTCCACGCTAATATTGCTCAGTATCAGTCCCATTGTCTCCGATGGCAGATCCAATAGTTTCTTCCGTTGTGGAATAAGGATGGGCTTAGTTGCAGACAACATTGTATCGACAAGTGTTTGTACTTGATAGAACCTTTGCAAAGTTTTATGAGAGCTTTAATTTTGAGCGTATAAGAACTATAGATATATAATAAAAGACATATATGTATAAATATGTATATTATATACACAAATATGTATGTATTTATATCATAAACATGTTTGAACCTATTTCATATATCACTACTAGTATCTCAAGAGCTTTTCATATCTATCCGAAAGCGAACACGTAAATATTTATGATATTTATTTTTGTTTATAGTTTTTGTATACAAAAAAAGCAACAAAAAATTATTTTAGGAATGATGACGCCACCAAATGGCTTCCCATTGGACATTTGCAGAAGTGCGCCACTGTGGAGATCCCTACTACTCCATAGATAGTGCTTCCCTCGAAAGACCTGGCCTGGTAACAGGTAAAGTGGTACATAGTAAAAAACAACTATTAACAACGCCATGCCTTGTAAATAGTCATTATTTTGCAAACTGTACAAACGTGAAACGACCCGTCAATATGTCGTCCAACTTTTTAGATCAGTATCATGACGTATATCGGACTGTGTCGGACATTAGTTGTAAATTATATCGGACATAGTCGTAAATTATTTATAAGTTTAAATTAGTATATATGTCGTCCGGACTTGTCGGGCCCTCGGGGTACATAAATATATTGTATACATTGCCTATTATTTATTTAAAAATAGGGAAGGCTATTCACATATATTTGTGGTTGACGAATGACGAATGTATGTATGTCTTAAAAAAATAAACATGTTAAATGCATAGTCTAATAAAGAATGACGAGATATGGTATGTAAATATATATTTCTTTAGAATATATTGTGAACGTGTTATATAAATAGAGAATGTGAATTAAATACCGCATCTTCGTGTGAGTTCTAAATACCGCTTCTTCGTGTGGGTTCTTCACAAACAACAGTTTGTAATTATGTTCGATGTGCCACCGGTGTGTCAACAAGAGTGTAGAATACAATGTTTGATACCAGTCGTACCATGTTTGTGCAGAACAAAGGAACACATTTTTAGTTTAGAGGGAGTGTTCAAATTTCGGTTTGCATTGGGACGGTTTCGATGAAAAGGCAGATAAAAAGACTTATCGCGATGGTCTTCTGTCTTAGCTATGCTAATTTTACTTTGGTTTTTTGTACATGTATGTAATATTCATGTTCGATGTGCTACCGGTGTCTCTATTCCAATAT